AAATTTGCGATTAATATTAATAAAAAATCCAATAATAACAGCACTCTGCTGTAAATGTAAGCCTGATTATTTGTATTATAGCAGAGTTCACCTGGATTTATAGATCATTGCATGTCATATGAAAGCCAAACAGAATGTTATTATAGAAGATTACTGTATTTTTACGAGTCAGTTATTTTCTGTTATTCTGCAGTATTTTTGGCACTCCAGCTGCTGAAATATTACAGTTTTTTGTTTTTTTTAACAATGTAGAGTGAAACTTTCATATGAAACTAGACCTAATGCATCCATTGGTACCGACCATGTCATGCTAGGAAGGAAGCTAAATAAGTTGGACATTTTTAAAGGGTTCCATGACCATCAAGCAAAAATCATGCCGTTTTTTTACATGGTAAAAATGTGTAATTTTCTTGTAGTGTATTCGAATATTTCTACAGACTACAGACTAAACTAGGAAAGATGGAAAGCTGAGACACAAACTTGATGCCATTCCTGCATTAAGTCACTGCTCCACTTGTGCCTGAAAGACAGAAAAGTCTGGAAATGCCCCCACTTGCCTATAAAGTCATAATGAAGCCGCAGCCAGCAGCCGGTTGGCTTAGCTTAGCATAAAGCGGGGGAAACAGCTAGCCTTGTTCTGTCCAAAGGCAATAAAGCTCACTGAATAATATCTTATGTCATATTTGTTTACAAAACATCTTCCATCTCTCTATCAAAGAAACATCCAGACATTCCAGTTCCAGTTGTTGAAGTTATTGGTGTTTTTATTTCTGTGATACTTCCTGTTGAGGGGATTTAATGAGGTGATAAAATGCATTACGTTTGTGTTGCTGTGTCTTTCCTGCTAAACTTTACAGGAAACATCTGTCACCATAAAACAGCTCCGGGGTAAAAAGACAATGTGTTGTCACAGCAAACAGAGCCTGAAGAAGAGCTGGCACAGAGGGTTTCATTGTTTGCTTGAGAGGGGAGTCTGAATGTAGACCCAAAATAACACACAGGTCTGAACACGCAGAGAGGAATCCAGGTGGAGACACAGGGCGGTTTAGGGTCTCTACATGATTGAATTGTGCAAAAATCTGATGCAGATTAGATAAAAGTTGATTGATCTGATTGGAGCTGAGTGAGTGAGTCAGATGGCAGAGCAAACACTGAGGTTCTGGATGTGATATCATTGTGCAACCAGCTTGCAGTCAGCATTCCTGATGTGATCTGTTTGTCATGTGCTTGTGTCTCTTGCCCTGAGGCGTGCACGGGGGCCGTACGCAGGGGCCCTCCCTCATAAAAGGAGCTGAGTCCAACCTCTCCTACATTCTCTCCTCTTCGTACAGAGCAGGCAGACTCCTCCACCATGGCCTCCTACACTCGCTCTATCAACTATTCTAGTTCTAACCGCCTCGGCTCCATGAGGGCCCCCAGCGTGTACGGTGGCGCCGGAGGCTCCGGCGTGCGCATCTCCAGCATGAGCGCACCCAGAAGCTTCTCCTCCTCCGCCGGTGCGGGGTTCTCTGCCGGCAGCAGCAGCAGTGGCTTCAACCTGTCTGATGCCGTCGACGTCACTGACAACAAGAAGATGGCCATGCAGAACCTGAACGACCGCCTGGCCACCTACCTGGACAAGGTGCGCAGGCTGGAGCAGGCCAACACCGAGCTGGAGCTGAAGATCAGACAGTTCCTGGAGAACAAGACTAAACCAGAGGGCCACGACTGCACTGCATTCAAGGCTGCCATCAGCAACATGCAGGACCAGGTGAGACGCGATTCTGTACTGTAGTGGAGGCACAAAAGAGTGTGAGATCATGTGAAATGTAAGATTTCTGCCTGAAACCTGAAGATGCTCCGTTTGTCTGAGCACAAAAGCAGAAACGCCCTGCAGACACACTCAGGTGTGCAGACATACAGGTGCAGCCACACCCTAAACACACCGAGGCCTTTGGCTCTGGTTTTGCATGATGTTGGTGCAAGAACAGAAGAGCTCTAAACCCACCAGGGGAAATTTGACTCACATTTGCATCATTTTTGCATTTCCTTTCTGCAATAACAAAGACTGGAATATGTGCTAGAATAGATATCAATATTTGCTTTTTTCATTCATTCATTATTTTTTAAATCTAAATTAACGTGTTAAATTTGACAGCATTTGACACCAAACTGTCTCTTCAGGACAGGAAGAAACTAATAAATCAATAAATCTAAAAAGTTCATTTATTTTGTAGTCTGACAACGTGCAGCCACGCCCTGCAGTCTGCTGCTTCCTCTGCTGCATCAGCTGTTTGTCTTTGAGTCTCAGTACAAGTTACATTTATAAAAACCAAATAAAATCAGACACATGCATCCTGAATCTGTCCTCCTGCTGTGTTTCAGATCCTCCACGCCACCAGCACTAACGCATCTCTCTACCTGGCCGTCGATAATGCCAAGCTGGCTGCTGATGACTTCAGGACGAAGTGAGTAAACAAATAATCTGCTGTAAACATGATGAATGTCAAACAGCTGCACACAGAAGCCTAATGCTGCCACGCCAGGAAAAACAGATCAGTTTCACATCATGAACTTTATTATTATAACATTGAACATTGTTTCACATTATAACAAAATAAATAGTATATTGTTAGAAAAGTTTGTATGTTCTGTAACGTGAAAATATCTTTAAAAAATTATCAGAAATGCTCATTTTGGTCTCAGCCGGCTGGAAGGGCGTGTCCCGCCAGCCCTGATGGAGCTCAGGACCTAAAATAATTTGATTATAACCTCTGGATCAGTGTGTGAGAGCTGCTCTGTTTGAAGCAGTACAGAAGGTCAATTAGATCGATCAGGTCCTGTCTGAGATAATTAATAATTATAAATAATTTTACAGTTATATAAATAAAGTTACAGTGAAATGGAGACAACAGTCCTACAATAAAAGTGTTCTACTGGTGTGAGTGTTGCTGGAGTTTTGGATGAAGCAGCTGATTGGATTGTTGCTGCCGGTTGGTGTTCAGGTTTGAGAACGAGCTGGCCATGCGTCAGTCGGTGGAGGGCGACATTGCCGGTCTGAGGAGAGTCCTGGACGAACTGACTTTGGGAAGATCCGACCTGGAGATGCAGATCGAATCTCTGAGGGAGGAACTCATCCAGCTCAAGAAGAACCACGAGGAGGTGGGCGCCAATCTAACAAGTTCATTATGAAGTGCTTCAACTAAAGCTTAATGATATTATATATTCCGTTAAAAAAATCATCCTTAGTGACATTCAGTAGGTTCAAACACAAAAAAGTGTTTTGGTTATTCAAGTCACAGTACGCAGACAGCAGAATCAACACTAAGGCGTCAAAGGTCTCATGGATCAGAGTTACTCGTAAAAGTGATTCATTGTTGGTTTATCTATTATTTTTCATTCAGTCCCTTTGTCTCAGAATGTCCAAACATTTGACAAATCCAAGTCCAAAGTCTTGGAAGATTTTGTTCGAAGATCATTCAAAAGAGGATTCAGCTTAAAAAACAGAAAATCCAGCAACAAAAACGTAGCAAAGATACACATCAAACGACTGCTTATGTGATGCAGCTCGATTCAACACAATTTTATTCAATACAATACGATTCAACGTCATATGATGCAATGCAAGAAAATATGATGCTATTCACTTCAATATGGTACAGACAGTTTGATTTTATTTCTTTGGTTCTTAATAACCAACTAGAGAAACACTTTTTTAATCACAACAATTGCATTCTGAACTTTTTTAAGTTACTAATTTCTGTTTTCCTGCAGGATCTGCTGGGTCTGCGCACCCAGATGGGAGGTCAGGTGAATGTGGAGGTGGACGCCGCTCCTCAGCAGGACCTGTCCGCCGTCATGGCCGGAATCAGAGAGCACTATGAGACCGTTGCCAACAAGAACCGCAAAGATCTGGACACCTGGTTCCAGGCCAAGGTGAGTGATATAAACCCTCAAAAGTTAGTAACCATGTGACTAAAAATAAGATGCACTGAGCAAATCATAGCAACCCCACCTCCAAATGTAACCCTTCTTTAAGCCTTAATGTCTTTATTATGATGTGATGAGTGAAAAGTGAAATTAAGTTCTTTTCCAGAGAAAAGTTGGGTGTTTCCCCATTCACTTCAATACACTTAGGAGTTTTCTAGCAGAATCTAGTGGCTTTGCAGTCTGACACCTAAACACTGGCTTACACAAGATATAAAATACATATAAAGACGAACTTTTCAAGACATAATTACAAGAAAGTAAGTCAAAATTGAAAGACTTATATAATATAATATAGATTTATGTGTATTTATGTGATTTATGTGTATTTTTTTTTATTACTACAAGTCCTTTAAGGTAAATTAAAGAAGTACATTGAGAAATAAAAACATACAAGTGTTTGAAATAAAAGTGACAAACAGAAGCGTGTCATCTGCACACAAGTTGATTATTGAGCAGTTTTAAAGATAGATCTCTGTCCGACATGATTTCTGACATTAAATGTTTGTTTTTCTGTTGTTTTTGTAGTCTGAAGATCTCAATAAGGAGGTCGCTGTGAGCACAGAGACTCTTAATTCATCACGCTCCGAGGTCACAGAGGTCAAACGCTCGCTGCAGGGTCTGGAGATCGAGCTCCAAGCACAGCTCAGCATGGTGAGTTTCTACCATTTCTTGGTATTTTTTCATGTGAATCTACAGTCTTTTTAAATCTCCTCACATTGTTTCCTCTCCCCTTCAGAAAGCCTCTCTGGAAGGAACCCTCGCCGACACCCAGAGCCGCTACTCTAACATGCTGGCAGGTTACCAGAGGCAGGTGACCACTCTGGAAGACCAGCTGGCCAACCTGAAAGCCGACCTGGAGCGCCAGGGACACGAGTACCAGATGCTGCTGGACATCAAGACCAGACTGGAGATGGAGATCGCTGAGTACAGGAGGCTGCTGGACGGAGAGGTGTTCACGTGAGTGGAGCAGTCCATACTGAGTTAATACTGGGTTAATACTGGGATTATACTGGGATCAAAATAAATTTCTTTAACCTTGTAAATTATGATTTTTTTCTTTAGGAAAATGGTCAAGAAAAAAGTTAATATTTATACCTTTTAAGTAACTTTTTAGTAATTTTTTAAGAGTGTAATTGTTATGGAGGCCCATTTTGGCCAAAAACAATAATAGATAGATAGAAGTATAAATATAAACATACATGTGTTTATAGAATGAAATGGTAGCTGCACTTTAAATCCACTGTTAATTAAAAGTACAGTTACAATTACAGTTAAAATGAGTTTCTCAGAGTATTAAATGCTAACTTTCGTGTGTTTCCCTGCAGGCCACCTGCCTCCTCTTCAACCACTACCACTCGTAAAGTGCTGATCGTCACTAAAGAGGTCACAGACGACGAAGACGACGAGAAGGAGGCTCAGTGAAACGACAAACATCACCAACACGCTGCTGACTGTTCTCAGAAATACAAATAAAATGCTTCTGATGAACTGATACAAGTCTGTGTGTGTACTGTGTGTATGAGTATGTGTTTATAAACACAACTCATATCGTTATTACATCATATTATATTATATTAATGTGCCTTGGTATTTTGTTAAATAATGGTCACTATAAACATAAAAGCAGAATTAGCTTAGACATACGACGAATTAAAAAGTAAAATACTAAAGATATGGCATGCCGTTCAGGAAATTAATCTTTGAATATATGGAATGAACCTTGAATATATTGAATGAATATTTGAATATATTGAAGCTTGGATATACTGATAAAAATGTGAGAATACTGAATGAAATTCAAAACCTAGTTGTATCCTTTTCATCAAAGTGATAGCCTTCTGAATTAGCTGGTTTTACAAAATGG